TAGGGATTGCATTGAATCTATAGATTGCTTTGGGTAGTATAGCCATTTTGACAATATTGATTCTTCCAATCCATGAACACGGTATATTTCTCCATCTGTTTGTGTCCTCTTTGATTTCTTTCATCAGTGTTGGAAATTAGAAAATTTTTGAACTGAGTAGAAATGAAACCCCTTTTTCTAATATGAAAAATGCTGTAGAGTTTCTTCTGAACACTAAGCATTCCACGACTTTTTTAGATATGGTGATTTTATTTTTTTCTGTTTGAGTTATTTGCACTTTGTAACTATTATAAATAATGCTGCTGTGAAATTCATGTGCAAGTTTTTTGTGTAGACATATATTTCATTTCTCTTGGATATGTGTATACCAAGGGTGAAATTGCTGGGTCATATGTTTAACATTTTGAGGAACTGCCATACAGCATTCCAAAGTGATCATCATACACGTTTTAAAGACTATAAGAGGAGAAAAGTACAGTATTATATTTACTATATATAACCAGATAGGTTTACAATATATATTATATATTTATTATTTATATTCTATATTTACTATATATATTGCACTTATGCTAGATAACCAGGTATTTACAGTTTCTGTTGCTTTTCCTTCATTTCTGAAGTTCCAAGTTTCCCTCTGGAATCATTTTCCTTCTTACATCCCCTCCCACCACCAAAAAAATCCTCCATTTGAAACAGGCCTGCTGGCACTTAGTTCTCTTGCTTTTCTTTCTTCCGAGAATGTCTCTGTTTCACCTTCAATTTTGAAGAATATTTTTTCTGGATATAGAATTCTGGGTTGACAGTTCTTTTCTTTCTGTACTTCTCAATGTTGTTCCACAGCCTCTGGTCTCAATGGTCTGATGAGAAATCCACAGTCATTTAAATTCTTGTTTCCTTTTCTCATCATAGCTGACAATTCTATTGATCATTTTTTGTTAATATTGTACTGACAGAGCATACCTATCATCCTCTGGTTTTGAGGAGACCCACAAAACAAGTCAGGAGGATATCAGAAGCAAGAGAACTTGAGAATATGCTTCCTAAGCAGGTGAGCACATGATTGCAAGCTTCATAGTAGAGATGGCTTAAAAGATGCTAGGAGTTCTGGCTAGAAAAGTGGGTCTGTGAAAATGTCAGAGTAAAAACTGGGGTGTTTCTGATTGTAGACTCGGTTAATACAGTAAGGAAATCTCCTGCAGGTAATTACTGACTGAAGTGGGCACAAGTTTGAGTAAGCATTTAGCCTGGATTTCTCCAGATTTAAATTATTTGCTTGAAACTCAAGAGCCTGGATGTAATGGAAAGAGAATCCTGGGCCTCTGTTTCCTACTCTATAAAACGTGGACAATAATTCATAGGTCCTGGTGTTCTTATGAGGTTTATCTGAGGTAGTGATGATAATTAACACGTAATGAACACTTACTATGTGTCAGGCATTATACTAAACCTGTGGAGAAGGAAATGGCAACTCACTCCAGTATGCTTGCTTGGAGAATCTCATGGACAAAGGAGCCTGGCAAGCTACTATCCATGGGGTCACAGGAGTCAGACACGACTTAGCAACTAAACCATCACCACCACCATACTAAACCTGTGCATACAATATATTTTATTTTACTGTCACAATCCTTTGAAACAATTACTCCTCCTATTCTTTAGTTTATTAGTGAGGAAATTGATGCTCAGAGCATGCTGAAACAAAGACCCAGCACAGCCAAATAAGTGTGCATCTGTGTGAAGTTGCTTGCAACCCTATGGACTGTAGCCCACCAGGCTCCTCTGTCCATGGAATTCCCCAGGCAAGATTACTGGAGTACTGGGTTGCCATTTCATAATGGCACATAATGGCACATAATGGCATAATGGCACATTTCATAATGGCCCTCACCGGGAGATGGGGCTCTAGGAATTATGGGACTAAATGATCTATGAGTTCCCTTCTGACTCCAAGTTTCTGTGATCCCAGTGGGATCTTGCTAAAGAGTAGTGCTTCCCAACAGGGGGCAGTTTTGCCCCCCAGGAGACATTTGGCCTTGTCTGGAGGCATTTCTGGTTGTCACAACTGGGTGTGGGGGCAGAGTACTACTTGTATCTATTACATGGAGACCAAGGATGCCGCTCAGCATCCTACAGTGCCCAGGACAGTCTCCCACAGCAAAGAATTATCTGGCCCCAAACGGCTAAGTGCCAAGATGGAGAGAACCTGATATAGATAAAGGAAATCTCATTAAGCAATTAAAATGAATAGGATTAGGGACTTCCTGGTGGTCCAGTGGCTAAGACTCCACCCTCCAAATGCAGGGGGTCCAAGTCTGGTCCCTTGTTCGGGAACTAGATTCCATGTGCTGCAACTAAAAATCCCACATGCGACAGCTAAAAAAGATCCCATATGCTGCAACTAAACTAAAAGAACATGCCACAACTAAGACCCGGCGCAGCCAAATAAGTATTTAGTAAATACATACATGTTTTTTTTTAATTAAAAAATAAAGTAAAACAAAACAAAGTAAATAGGATTAGAGAATAATGTGGTTAGGTGCTGCTACAGCGTTTATTCATGAGGCAGAATTTTTGTCTGATTATCACCACTTCTTCAAAATAAAACGTATTTAAAAAATAACATAAGTAGTACACAGTCACTACAGACGTTTTGGAGAAAAGGCAGAGGAACGTAAGGAGAGAAAACAAATCACTGTCAGCCACTGTCTGTTCTCTTTCCTGGTCTCTATTTCAGCATCTCAAACACAGAACATCCCAAACAGACTTCTTGATTGTTCTACTCTGTCAGACTATCCCCAGACTTTCCCAGCTGGGCAATTGGCAGCTAACCCTTTAGAGTCATCCTTGACTCCCCTCTTTCTCACGCCTACATTGACTCTATCAGTAAATCCTGCCAATTCTGCTTTTACAACATAATCACAAACTCCACCACTTTTCACCTCTCTCCCAGCTCCCCAGCCGCAGCCCCGGCACTGCCCGAACCACTCTAGAGGCCTCCTAAGTGCTCTTCTTGTGTCCATGCTCACCCATGCAGTCATTTCTCCACACATCAGTTAAAGGGGTCTTTTTTTTCTTATTTATTTATTTATTTATTTGGGGGGGATCTTTAGAAAAAAATTAATCAGATCATGTTGTAACCCAGCTCAAAACCTTCCCAGTGACTTCAGTCACACTTAGAAAATCCTAGCTCCTTTCCAAGGCCCGGAGACCCCACTCCTTCTTCGCTTCATTATTTGTTCTCTTTTGAGCCATGCGGGCCTGTTTTCCATCCCTCAGCCACACCAAGCTCCTGTCTGTCTTGGGGGTCTCTTGCACTTGCTGTCCCCTTTGCCTGGAACATTGCACAGATCTTCCTTCCATTGTTCAGGGTCTGCCAGGATCACTCCTCCTCAAGGCAGCCCTCCCTGACCACCCCATGGAAAAGATTCCTCTCCTCCCCGGTATCCCATCCCACCACACACACCCCTTACTCTGCTTGATTCTTACCTGAAGCCCTTATTATTCCATAGTATCATGTACTCTCTTACTTGTTGATTATTATTTTTTTCTCAACTATAATACAAGCCCTTTAGGGCTGGAATGTGTCTTATTATCGACTGATATGCCAATGTCTAGATCAGTATGTATACATAGTAGTCACCCAGTATATATTTGCTGAGTGAGTTGTTAACATTTTAGGAACTAGGCTTCTAGTCCCTCATCTACCTTTTTTTGGTTGATATATTTCATATAATTATATTTATTTTATACAATATACATAATATTATATACCTAATTTTGTATCTTGATTTTTAAAATTACTATTGCATCTGAAACCATATTTTAGTACCAACTCTTCGTATTTTAGTACCAACTACCACTATTGGTGGTAGTATGCCACCAATAGTGGCATACTATTCCTTTGGGTAGAGATATCTACATCTCTTTGAACATTTAGATTATTCCAATCTTCTGCCGTAGTAATTATCACTGCAGTAAACATTTTAGTGCCTAAATCTTCTTTACTTGTGGGTAGTTTTCCTTAGGATAGCATCCTAAAATGAGTTCCTAGATAAAAGATATGAGTACTTTTACATTTCTTAATGTACACTGTAAAAATGACAGTAGCCTTTATTCTACTCCTCTCTCTTTCCTACTCAGTCTTACCCTGCCTGCAAAAGCCCTCCGCTGACTCCAAACCTCTTCAACATTTATGGCAAGAGTCCTCTGATTGTGTACTTCCTCCTGAACTACTCCACCCTGCAGCATCATGGCCAAGACCTGTTGATGGTCAGGAGAGAAAGAACCAAGATCATCCCATATCCTTTCCACCGTGGGTTAGACACACATCACTCCAGATCCCTGCTTCCCCTTCCCAGAAGCAAGGGTGAAGAGAGACACATCCAACACCTGACACATAGTAGGGACTTGTCAAGGGTGACCATTGATAGATGCCTATGGGTCAGAATCTTGCTCATTTTAATTCAAAACCTACCTCGTGCTGTGTGGGACCCTGGGCAAGTCAGATTTCCCTGTGTGCAAAATCTCTTCCTATCTACCATAAAGAATGGGCTACTTAGGGACCCTTACATACTTTGCAATTTACTAATGCCTCCCAGATGCTGACACCACAGTATATATTTGATCAGGAATTTTGGTGTCCAGGTATGTGTTTCTTCTAGCATCCTCCTCACACACACACACACACACACACACCCCTCCGCAAGACCCATTAGCAAATTCCTGGCCCCATTGAAATTTATCCTAAAGATATGGTCAAAATCCAGATCTTAAGAAAACGGGTGTGATATGTGTTGGCGTCTGAGTCTTAGCAGTTTCCATAGAGGGTCAGAACGTGGGATCAAATAGACCCAGATTCAGGAACCAAGTCAACTGCTTACCAGCTGAGTGATCTTAGACAAGTTCCAGCTTCTCTCTGAGCCTCATCTTTTCACCTATAAAATGGGGATAACAGTACCTGCCTCATAGGGTTGTAATGTAGAGAACAGGTACAGCGCCTGGCAGGTAACAAGCAATTGAATGAATGTTACCTGTCAGCATAGTACTTTGTTATTTACAAAATGCTTTGCTTTATATCACCTCATTGTTCTGTAAGGACAGTGTGGTGTAGTAGAAGGAGCCTGGGTTGGGGATACCCAGCCCTGGATTTGAGTTCCAGCTCAGCAACCCACTGGCTTCAATATCTCATGTGCGTACCTTCAACCCTAAGCTCAGTATCTTTATCAACTCATTCTTAAAATGAGGATAGTCACACCAAATCAATAGTTTTGTGACCAGGATTAAATGGCATAGAGCTGGTACTAAGAAAGTAGCAACTATCATTATTATCATTAACATCATCTGAGGTAGGTATTGTTATCCTTATTTTATAGATAGGGCAATGGAGGCACAGGGGGTGACATGCATTGTCTGATGTCCCACAGTTCATGATGAGTGTAACTGAGATTCTGAACAGTTCAGAAGGGGTGGAAGGGAGGGGAAGGTAGAGAGAACTTTTCAACATATTAATACAAACATGAGATAGGGAATCAGAATTGGGCCTGAAAAGAAAGGAAAGTTGGAATCCCTTTCTATTCACCACTTTGATAATAGAGTAAGAATTTTAGATGATAGTCTAAAATAAGCACTTCCTAGGCCTTCCAGGACCTTCCTAGGAGGTGCAGTGGTAAAAAAATAAGTCTGCCTGCTTATGCATGAGATGCAAGAGATGTGGGTTCAATCCCTGGGTCAGAAAGATCCCCTGGAGAAGGAAATGGCAACCTGCTCCAGTATTCTCGCCTGGGAAATCCCATGGACAGAGGAGCCTGGCAGGCTACAGTCCATTGGGTTGCAAAGGATCAGACACAGCTTAGCAATTGAGCATAGCACACAGCCCTTCCATCAGCAGGAGGGGAGAAAGACTATTAAAGATGGGAGAGTGGCCGAGTCATGGAGAAGTTAGGCTTTTTCTTTCCCAAGCAGGCCACGATCAAGGCCATGGAGAGTTTCCTGCTCAGATTTCTAGAAGCAGGTCAGTTTCCCCACTCTGGCATCTCACCTCCCTCCTCCCCATGCCCTGGACATATCCCACCAACAAAGCTGAGTCAATACCAACTGATGGTGTGAGGTTTTCCTTGACATGAAAGCCACTGAGTCCACCCTGACCTACGCTGAGGTCATCAACCTGACCCTGAGCAACATGAAGAAGCGGAGGGAAAACTTCCAGCAGTTGAACTGGCTTCACTGGAGTGAGTGGAATTATTTTGACGAGTACCTGAAGGAACTGCAGGACAACTTCCTCAGGTATAAGGGGCCTTCGAGGGAAAGAGGCATGGTTTCAGCCTTTGTCTAGTGCAGCATGTCACACTAATTTGTAACTGGGATCCAGCCCTGTAACCAGTGCGTTCAGAATGTAAATTCCATAGTAACAGAGACCAGGTCTTTTTTTTTTTTACAAGTTTTTTTTTTTTCCGACTACAAAAACATTTATGCTCAATGAAAACAAAGAACCTGGAAAAATACCTACAGTTCACATTGCCAATATTTTTCTATAAATCCACCCAGTCTTTTTTCCTGGGCACGTATATCTATATCTCCAGGGGTGCAGTTGGTGAATCTAGAATAGGAAATTCTATAGGACAAATAACCTGGTTTCTTCAGCACATAAAAAGCAAGGAAAATAGAGGAGGAGGAAGGAGGATCAATTGTTTAGAAGACACTGGAGAGAGATATTAATCAAAGCATTGTTTGGATCCTGACTTAAATCAACCAGTTGAGATAATTATCTCAATTATGAGATAACTGGGGAAATTTGAACATTGACCTGGTTTTAAGTGATATTAAGAAATTTCTTTTATTAGAGTGTTCCTTTCTTAAAGATATTGTAATAATTTTGTAGTTATTTTTTAAAGAGTTGTGTCTTAAAGAGATATGCTGCTGCTGCTGCTGCTAAGTCGCTGTAGTTGTGTCCAACTCTGTGTGACCCCATAGACGGCAGACCACCAGGCTCTGCTGTCCCTGGGATTCTCCAGGCAAGAACACTGGAGTGGGCTAAAGAGATATGTTATGAAGTATTTATGGCTGAAATGACACAGTGTCTAGGATTTGCCTTAAATTAACCCATTTGGCATGGGGAGAGGGAGGCAAAGGAGATAATAGATAACAGATGAATAAGATTGATAACTATTGAAGCAAGATAATGGGTAAATGATGTTAATTATACAACTTTCTTTACTTTTATATATGTTTAAATTTTTGAACACTGTCTTTATTTTTCTTTGATGGTGGCCATAACAATAGTGGAAGATGACAAATGCCCATGTGGAGTATTACTTGTAGGTGGGCTAGGACTCTTTGGGGATGTCAATTACCACTTGTTCCCCTAATGTGCCTCCCTTGTGGCTTAGTTGGTAAAGAATCTGCCTGCAATGTGGGAGACCTGGGTTCGATCTCTGGGTTGGGAAGATGCCCTGGAGGGAGGGCATGGCAACCCACTCTAGTATTCTTGCCTGGAGAATTCCCAAGGACAGAGAAGCCTGGTGGGCTGCAGTCCACGGGGTTGCAAAGAGTCATACATGACCGAGTGACTAAGCACAGCACCCATAATGTAGCATATCCGTTTGGAGCGCTGGCATTGAAGGTGGACAGACTGAAGCTGCAGGTACAGCTCTGTCTCACCCTCTCTATGGATTAGGTCCATCATTTAGCCCATGTGAGTCTTGGATGCCCCATCTGTAAAACAAGGACACTACTCACAGAGTAGTTGTGTGGATTAAAGGAGATGTCTAGGTTGGTACCTGGCTCACAGGAAGGGCTCAGCAAATGACGGCTCTTAGAGGTAATACATGTGACCTCGTTCCATGAAAACTGCAGGATCCAAAGCAGCACCAGGTCTTGGAGTTGGAAAGTTTGCTATTGGGGCGGCCTAGAGCAATGTTCCTTAGAAAAGGCAATCCAGGGACTTCCCTGGTGTCCAGTGGTTTAGAATCTGCCTTGCAGTGCAGGGGATGGAGGTTCGATCCCTGGTTGGGGAACTAAGATCCCACGTGCCTCAGAGCTACTAAGCCTGTGTGCTGCAAGTACTGAGCACATGTGCTGCAGCTAGGACCCAAGACAGCAAAACAAATAAATAAAAATAAATATATATACAAAGAAAGAAAAGGCAATCCAGGAGCTATCTTGCAGGGATCTCTGCTCTGGGTGGAGGAAGAACCTGGTTAGCACATGCAGTTGGAGCTGTAATGAAAGAGCAGGATCAATTGCTGCTGGAGAACTTAGTTTCCTTGTGAGTCAGAGCCGTGATCCTTAAACTTGTATGGGGGCCAAGCACCCGCAATTCAAAACCCCCTTTGCAGAATTTTATGAAATGTTTTGACATATGATCCTGTCATACAAGCTAAAGATGCTCTTACTAGTGGAAAATAGGCACCTAAGATACGTATTGGAGAAGAAAATGGCAACCCACTCCAGTATTCTTGCTTGGGAAATCCCATGGACAGAGGAGTCTGGCACGCTACAGTCCGTGGGATCGCAAAATTGTTGGACATGACTTAGCAACTCAACAAGACATGTATAGACTTCAAAATCCCGAGAAATGACAATATAGGAAATACTGCTCAGTTCGGTCGTGTCCGACTCTTTGTGACCCCATGGACTGTAGCCCATGCCTCCCTTGTGGCTTAGTTGGTAAAGAATCTGCCTGCAATGTGGGAGACCTGGGTTCGATCTCTGGGTTGGGAAGATGCCCTGGAGGGAGGGCATGGCAACCCACTCTAGTATTCTTGCCTGGAGAATTCCCAAGGACAGAGGAGCCTGGTGGGCTGCAGTCCACGGGGTTGCAAAGAGTCATACATGACCGAGTGACTAAGCACAGCACCCATAATGTAGCATATCCGTTTGGAGCGCTGGCATTGAAGGTGGACAGACTGAAGCTGCAGGTACAGCTCTGTCTCACCCTCTCTATGGATTAGGTCCATCATTTAGCCCATGTGAGTCTTGGATGCCCCATCTGTAAAACAAGGACACTACTCACAGAGTAGTTGTGTGGATTAAAGGAGATGTCTAGGTTGGTACCTGGCTCACAGGAAGGGCTCAGCAAATGACGGCTCTTAGAGGTAATACATGTGACCTCGTTCCATGAAAACTGCAGGATCCAAAGCAGCACCAGGTCTTGGAGTTGGAAAGTTTGCTATTGGGGCGGCCTAGAGCAATGTTCCTTAGAAAAGGCAATCCAGGGACTTCCCTGGTGTCCAGTGGTTTAGAATCTGCCTTGCAGTGCAGGGGATGGAGGTTCGATCCCTGGTTGGGGAACTAAGATCCCACGTGCCTCAGAGCTACTAAGCCTGTGTGCTGCAAGTACTGAGCACATGTGCTGCAGCTAGGACCCAAGACAGCAAAACAAATAAATAAAAATAAATATATATACAAAGAAAGAAAAGGCAATCCAGGAGCTATCTTGCAGGGATCTCTGCTCTGGGTGGAGGAAGAACCTGGTTAGCACATGCAGTTGGAGCTGTAATGAAAGAGCAGGATCAATTGCTGCTGGAGAACTTAGTTTCCTTGTGAGTCAGAGCCGTGATCCTTAAACTTGTATGGGGGCCAAGCACCCGCAATTCAAAACCCCCTTTGCAGAATTTTATGAAATGTTTTGACATATGATCCTGTCATACAAGCTAAAGATGCTCTTACTAGTGGAAAATAGGCACCTAAGATATGTATTGGAGAAGAAAATGGCAACCCACTCCAGTATTCTTGCTTGGGAAATCCCATGGACAGAGGAGTCTGGCACGCTACAGTCCGTGGGATCGCAAAATTGTTGGACATGACTTAGCAACTCAACAAGACATGTATAGACTTCAAAATCCCGAGAAATGACAATATAGGAAATACTGCTCAGTTCGGTCGTGTCCGACTCTTTGTGACCCCATGGACTGTAGCCCGCCAGGCTCCTCTGTCCATGGAATCTTCCAGGCAAGAATAGTGGAGTGGGCCTTTCTCTGGTAGAAAATACTATCAAGGATTTATGTCCAAGTTTTCCTATTAGAAAATGTCATCACAACAAAAACAAATGCAGTTTGCTGCTTGTTTGTCTCTCCACTGCAAGCAGAAGCTGGCTTCAGAAGGTTAGGAAAAGAGGATGCCAAAAGTGAGAATGTTGTGTCAACACAATTTTTTTCTTTTGACTTGGGGAAAGACATTGTTGGAATAACCACTGGTTCAGGCCAAGGTCAACAGTAGTTTCTTAATACCAGTCTTATTACACCTATTCCATAGCAGCAGAGAAATATATGACACCATCTTAATTCTCTTGAATATATTTTTATTTCTGTTTTGACTACCTTGAATGTCCATAAGTTGTTTCTTCATTGAATACAGGTCTACTCACCTTTCAAAGGTCAGCTGGTATACTTCCCAATTCCACTGAAAACCTTCTCCTATCATAATAGCAGCAGCAGCAACTGACATTGCTGAACTGAGCACTTCATGTGTATTACTACCAGGCCCTGTGCTAATCACTTGACCTATGGTAATTCAATTTATCCTCAACATTACACTCGGTTCTATTATTACCATGTTGAGATGAGTACACTGGCAAGGAGAGGTTAAGTAACTTGCTCAAGGACACACAGCAAATGGCAGAACCCCAAATTGAATTCCACTTGCCTCAAGTTCATGCTTCAGCTTTCTCTCAGATGGTTGGTTCTCCTCACCTGTCTTCCTAATTTGAGTACATTCTGCTGAGTCAGGGACAGTGTCTTATTTCTCTGTATCCCTCAGGGCCGTATGACTCCCAGCACAGAGCAGGAGCTTGGTGACTGAGTCGCTGCTGTGTGGCCAACTTTCTGCTTCAGTCGGTTGCTCTTGACAGATGTAATGAATGAACTCATAAATATCTGCTACTTTTTCATGTGAAGATAGAGTAAAAAGTAAAAAGATAATGCTGACTCTTTAGTCTTTTTCCATGTGTCTTTGTGATTTCCCCACAGGGAGATGAAGAATATTGATCAAAGAGCAAAAGACAAAAAAAAGGCAAACCACATGTTCATCCAGGCTTCAACCTTCCTTGAGGACACTCCTGAAAAGAAATCTAGAAGAATTCATCAGAGGGAGACTGAGTTTATGTTGAGGTTTGTTTGAACAAAGACCATAGAAAAAGTAAAAATGTGAACATTGTAGGAATTCTTAATACATGGAAAAATATATATGTAATATTTTTATATTATAAAAGTCTACTCACTTTTATGGGTTAGTCACCCAATTCTTACTTTATTTTTTATTAATGGTAACTGTAAGGGCTACCAATGACCTTGTACTTCCTCTATGCCAAATACTTGTACTTTATGAACTGTTTGAGTCAGAGCTCTTAGGTTGCATGTGCCACAAAACCAACTCAAACCAGCTTGAGTGGAAGGAAAATCTCATGGTTTTTGTAACTGGAAAGGCCACAGACAGACTGGCTACAGGTACGATAGACCTGAGGGCTCAAAGATATTTTCAGATTCTTTCCTTTTGTTTCTTTAAAAATTTTTTTTATTTATTTATGTAGACCTTACTGGGTCTTTGTTGCTGCACGTGGGCTTTTTCTAGTTGCAGTGAGTATGGGCTACTCTTCATTGCAGTGCAAGGGCTTCTCACTGCGGTGGCTTCTTTTGTTGCAGAGCATGGGCTCTAGGGAACATGGGATTCATTAGTTGCGGTGCTCGGAGGTTCTAGAGTGCAGGGGTAGGGGGTGGCTCAGTACTTGTAATAGTTGTGGCTCTTGGCCTTAGTTGCCCTGAGGCATGTGAGATCTTCCTGGACCAGAGATCCAACGGGAGTCACGTACATTGGCAGGCAGATTCTGGTCCACTGGATCACCAGGGAAGTCGTCTCCCTTTCTTTTATGACCCTCTGTTCCTGTGTGCTGGCTTGCTTTTCAAGCTACCCCTGCCCTTGAAAGAAAAGACCCTGATGCTGGGCAGGAGGAGAAGGGGACGACAGAGGATGAGATGGTTGGATGGCATCACCGACTCAATGGACATGAGTTTGGGTGAACTCTGGGAGTTGGTGATGGACAGGGAGGCCTGGTGTGCTGCAGTTCATGGGGTCGCAAAGAGTCGGACTTGACTGAACTGCCCTTGAAAGAAAGAAAGAGCGCCAAGAACAGCCCCAAGCCTATGTCCTTATAGTGTGTGACCTGAAAGAGAGACACCCTCTCCCAGCCTCCATAAACTAAGCCTCATAAAAGTCTCTGATGGTGATGCCAAAAGCTCAGCCTCTGAACACCAGTGTCGAATTGAATCTCAGAGACAGAGTTTTGGATGAAGTAGAAGAGACTTATTGTTTTGCCAGGTGAAGCGAGGACACAGTAGGCTCCTGCCCTCAAAACTGTGTGTCCTAACCCAGGAGGATTTGATGAGTTTTAAAGCAATTTCTCTTGAGTTTTCTTTGACCTATGTGTTGTTTAGAAGTATGTTGTTTAATCTCCAAGTATTTGAGGGTTTTTCTAGCTCTCTCTCTCTGCTATTGATTTCTAGTTTGATTCCATCTTGGTCTGAGAGCAGGCATAATGTGATTTATCTTTTTCAGATTTGTTTAGGTATATTTTTTTGGCCCAGAATTTGGTCTGTCTTGGTGAATGTTACATGTGAGCTTGCAGAGACTGTATAATCTGATGTTTGGGGTGATGTAGTCTACAGGTGTCAATTACATCCTGCTGATTATTGGTATTGTTGAGCTCAAGTATATCCTTACCAATTATCTGCCTGCTGGGTCTGTCCATTTCTGATTAGAGGAGTGTTGAAGTCTTGGAGAAGACTCTTGAGAGTCCCTTGGACTGCAAGGAGATCCAGCCAGTCCATCCTAAAGAAGATCAGTCCTGGGTGTTCATTGGTAGGACTGATTTTGAAGCTGAAACTCCAATACTTTGGCCACCTGATGCGAACAGCTGACTCATTTGAAAAGACCCTGATGCTGGGAAAGATTGAAGGTGGAGGGAGAAGGGGATGTCAGAGGATGAGATGGTTGGATGGCATCACCGACTCAATGGACATGGGTTTGGGTGGACTCCGGGAGTTGGTGATGGACAGGGAGGCCTGGAGTGCTGCAGTTCACGGAGTTGCAAAGAGTCGGACACGACTGAGCGACTGAACTGAACTGAAGTCTCTGACTATGATAGTGGAGTCACCTATTTGTCCTTGTTTTCAAGCAGTTTTTCCCTTGTGTAGCTTGATGCTGCTTTGTTAGGAGCATACACATTAAGAATTGTTATGTCTTCTTGGAGAATTGACCGCTTTATCATTATATAATGTCCTTCTTTATCCCTAATAACTTTTTTTGCTTTTGAATCTGCTCTGTCTGAAATTAGTATAGTTACCCTTGCTCTCTTTTAATCAGTATTAGCATCGTATATTTTTTCTCCATTCATTTACTTTTAATCTATAGCCACATTCTCTTTTAAGGAGCATTTCCAAAAGTCCCAAACAACATTTCCACTTACATCCCATTGCTAGAACGTGAATGTATGGCTACAGCAATTTCTTTCTTTTTAATAAATATTGTTTAAAAAAATTTAAAATGTTCTTTTATTAAAATAAAAGTGATTATGATTTTATAATATTAATGAGGTACAACTTACCATAACATTTGCCCACTTGGCCAGTGTAATTTGGTGACTTTAGTAAATTTACAGAGATTTGCAACAATTACTGCAATTTAGCTTTAGAATTTTTCATCACCCTAGAAAGATCCCTCATGCCCGTGTGTAGTCAATTTCTTTTAACTTCTCCCTTTTTAGTAACCTCCTTGGAAATATTGTATAACATTACCAATTTATTTCAAGGGCCAGATATTAGTCACATGGTGATGTTAGCTTCAAAGGAGACTGGTAAATGTGTTGTTTATTTGTTTTTTAAATCTGGGTACATTACCACCTTAAACAAAAACTAGCTCCATTGCTAAAGTGAAAAGGGAGAGTGGATGATGGGTTGTTAAATAACCGTCTCTACCACAGATAGATGGCGTTATACTCTCCATTTCAGAGATAAAGAAACCAAAGCATAATGATTTGAGAAATTTAATGAAGGAAGACTTTCAACCTTCTAGCTGAAATTTTCCTTCAAACCAGGAAGGAAATTTTCCTTCCTTCCTTCCTTCACATTTTAAAAATAATAGTTTAGCTTGAGGCCCACCTGTTTGAGCCACGGAATCCTGTAAATTCAATGGTAACTCATTAGCAGTCTTTCTGATATCCAGATTAGATTCTCAGAAATACAAAAAGCCAACTAATCTAATTCACCAATATTATTTTTATTCCCTCAGACATGACTATCTTTCAACTACTTTTTTTTAATTGAAGTATAGTTGATTTACAATGTTGTGTTAATTTCTGCTGTACAGAAAAGTGATTCAGTTATACATAAAAATAAATTCTTTTTTATATTCTTTCCACTACAGTTTATCTCAGGATATTGACTATAGTTCCCTGTGCTATACAGTAGGACTTTGTCATTTATTCATTTTATGTGTAATAGTTTATATCTGCTAATCCCAAACTCCCATTCCATCCCTCCCCCACCCTTTCAGTTTACAGCTTTTCACCCTTACTACTTAATCTAGCTAACCCCTCAGTAACCCTTAAAACCCAGCTCAGACATCACCTCCAGGAAGTCTTCCCTGATTTAACCACTCAGGGTATTGTCCTATGCTTTCCTGATCACATACCACAGAACATAGCATATTCTAGTCACAGATTTGCTTGTCCATAAATTGAGACTTGTCCTTGAGGTCAGGAATACTGCCCTAGATGACCTTTTTTTCCCTCCAGGTCCTAGCACCCAACAGGTCCTCAGTTAATACCTAGAAGATGAGTGAGGGAGTCATTGCCATGTGTTCAGCACTCTGCTTCAGTTATTTGTTATTGCCAGTGTTTGGCTGATCTGTAAACTTCTTCTTTCGGTACTTATCAAGATTCTAGTGAAACCTTTGAAGAGATCACACTGAAGTTTTGAGCCAATTTTTGTTCATGTCTTTTTTGTTTCCCCCACAGGAAGGGAAAGGAAGAGAGGGATGGAGAATGGAAACAGAATTCAACTGACTCTTCCTTCTCACCATCAAGCACTGATGAAGTCTCTTCCCTGTAGGAACTAGGAAGCTCCTACAAAATTTCTGACATTCCTGCTAGTAGGAGAACAAAAACAGGAGGAAAAGAAACTTGTGGCCAAAGACTGAGAAATAGAAATAAATATTCCCAGGATGGGGGAAAGATTCCACTATAGTTTTTCCTAGGTTGAGTGAAAAGCTGGAGTGGGGAGATTTTTCCTTAGGTCACTACATTTACTCATGCATTTACTCTTTTACCCATTATTTTACTTAAAATATTATAGGTAACAATATTAAGTGGTGGCTCAGATGGTAAAGAATCCACCTGCAATGCGGGGGACCTGGGTTCTGCCCCTGGGTCAGGCAGATCCCTTGGAGAAGAGAATGGCAAACCACTCCAGTATTCTTGCCCAGAGAATTCCATGGACAGAGGAGCCTGGAGGGCTACATACAGTTCATGGGGTCGCAGAGAGACAACTGAGCGACTAACACTTTCACTTTCTTTATAATAATAGTGGCTACCAATTTACTGTTTACTCTGTGCCAAGCATTAAGCTAAACACAATACAAACATGTACATTCGTGTTTAGTTGTTAAGTCATGTCTAATTCTTTGTGACCCCATGAACTGCAGCCCTCCAGGCTCCTCTGTCCATAGGATTTTCCAGGCAAGATACTGGAATGGGTTGCCATTCCCTTCTCCAGGGGATCTTCCCAACCCAGTCGGGAGCAGCAGAGGCAAAGACTCAGAGGCAGCAAGTAACATGGCAGGAGGTCATGGAAGTATGTGAGGGGCTCTAGGAGAGATGAGCCTGGAGAAGATTCCTGGACAAACCATGAAGGAATTTTCTTTTCTAAGCAAAACCACTTTAGTATCTAAGTGGTAGGAATCCATGAACGATATTAAATAGGGAACCACATGGCCATATTTGGACTTTTCAAGTCCTGGTGGCAGATGGTGGGCTACATGATGGAATTATGTATGTACTTCAGGGGATCTGCAAAGTCTTCCACAAACATCTACCTCTACGTGAAACCCTGGCTATCTTTTTGATCAGTAGTCTCCAAGCTTTCTTGATCTTATATCTCTCTTAATAAAACATTTATGAGAACTCAGCTAACAGCTTGTTACAAAAATTGCACTCTTCCAGACCCCCTTGCCTATTCCACAGCAACACTTTCCACTTTCTTTTTTTTTTAACTGTCATTTTAAATCTTTAATCAGATTCCATTCATTATTATCAGTCATATTACATGCCATGATTAGCTTTTTATAAACAATTTGCCTTCTGTGTACAAATTGGTATCAATGAAATAAAAAATTAAACCATATACTAGGCAAAGAATTTTCTTTGTCTCAAACTTTATTCTTAGGCTTCTTCAGCTTCATTAGCTGCAAAGAATGAATTGTATATAAGCAAAAACTGAAAAGAGCTGCAGTGTCCAGGGGCTTAGGCTTAAAAATATTAGAGATCTAGATTTTATCAGATCCATAAACAAAATTTTAAAAGCAGTCATAATATAAAATAGCAGCTCCCAGTAAACTTCCTCAAGATTCATCTTCTTTGGAAGTTAACTCAGTTCCATGTGCTTCGTTCTTGGAAGCCTCATCAACATTCTCCACAAGATCTGGAACTTCATCCTCCTCCTCCTCTCAAGTGGCAAGTGGTACTTTTCCATCCACGGACTGTTTGGGCAGAGCTTCAGCCAGTCTCCTTAAACTGGTCAGACTGTCGGCACCAAGCTGGTTTAAGATGCTGGGGAGCATTTCTGTCAGTTGCTTTGTCTCAGCGTGGTCTGTAATGGTGAAAGTGTTTGCTGCCAGAGATCCCTGAACTTTAGGATTGTTAAAGTGGATCACTGTTCCTTGATTTGTGAACATATTCACCTCTTCAATACCAGAGATATGTTTACCCCTAACTTCTTTAAAGAGAACTGAAGTTTTTTGTCATCTGCTGTGGCTGTTCTATGAACCACCTTCTTCTTTCTGTGAGCAGTTCCTTTCCCACCAATGCGTACTTGTGCCTGCAGTTTGGCGAGTTTCTCCTGGTTCATGATAGTTTCCTTCATCTTGTTGGAGCGGAAATGGGGCCGCGCGGGAGACTAGGGTTGGCGCTCAAGTGGTCTCGGGCAGACCAGCTGAGGTTAAGCGCACACACGCGGGGGCGCCAAGATGGCAGCTAGAGTCACTTTCCACTTTCTTAGCTGATTGTTTTGTTATTTGTTTTCCTCCATATGTTTGAATATCCTGGTACTCTTGATTTTCCAGTGTTAGGCATTATCTATTGAATTCTCACAATGAAAGGTGAGGACTAGATTCACACATGCACACACTTTTCCTCTCCCATCCTGCCAATATGCTTCTGTTGTGATTTTGGCTGGTTCCTTAATCAGTATTATTATACCATCAACACCATTACCATGAGCTACAGAATATACTTTCATTGTTTTTATTTCTTGCAAAATTCTTTGCTGTCACTGGAACTAAGTCTCTTTTTCAGTCGACTTGTTTTCTTTCTTTTTTTTAATATACTTAAGACAGTCTATCTCCAAATTCTCCCAGTACATTCAGACGCTTTACATAATCTATTAGTTTTACCTCCATTTCCCGGCCTTCTGATCTACTTCACTCTAGGTGGTTCATTTCCAGGCTGTTTATATAATGTTGGGAATTCCTTTCTTCATTCTCTTGATCACATTGGTTTTTTAACCTACTTCTCTTTGTGTCTTTATGGTTCACCCACAGAAAGGTGATCAAGAAATCAAATCCAATGCAGAAAAATGAAATAATCTTTCTTATCCTCTCACCTTCCATCTCACCTGAATGAATCCTTGTCTAAGAATCAAAAGAACTTTTTGGATGAAGTCTTCACATGTTGTTGGATTTACTCTAAAATGGAAACAAGAAAACAAAAAATAATACAATAATACATTTAGTCATTCCCCTCCATAGGATAAAGAATATTAAAGTCCACTCCTACCTGAGCCAAAGTCAGAATTTAAATTGGCATAAAGTTACCTCATTCATTCATGCATTTGCTTACTAATTCTTTTATTCACTTGTTTATTAATAATAACACTGTGGAGTATATATGCTGCTGCTGCTGCTAAGTCGCTTCAGTCATGTCCAACTCTGTGTGACCCCATAGACGGCAGCCCACCAGGCTCCCCCATTCCTGGGATTCTCCAGGCAAGAACACTGGAGTGGGTTGCCATTACCTTCTCCAATGCATGAAAGTGAAAAGTGAAAGTGAAGTTGCTCAGTTGTGTCCAACTCTCAGCGACCCCATGGACTGCAGCCTACCAGGCTCCTCCGTCCATGGGATTTTTCCAGGCAAGAGTACCAGAGTGGGTTGCCATTGCCTTCCCCCATGGGGTATATATAGGTATGTATTATATGTATCATATAATAGTGGTCATAGGAGACATCATTTATCAAGTACTTACTAAGTGCTGAGTACTTTAAGTCCTTTTCAGACATTATCTCAGATTTAACCCCTTTCCCCTCTTCTCCCCCAGGTGGGTGTTGGTACCCCCATTTCTCTTAGGAGGACACTGGGGCTTGAAAAGAGGTTGAGGAAGTGTTCATGTTTGCACATACCAGGTCCTGTTGATACAGAAATGAATAAAGACAACAGTCCCTGACCTTAAAGAGTACACAGACTAGAAGAGAGGGAAGGATGTGTAAACCAATAAATGCATTAAAGTTGTGCTAGAGATCTGCTTTGAATCCAAGAAAAACCAAGCCCACAGACTTCACCGAGGCTCAGAAGTACATGGGCCAGTGTGTAGAAGGACCTGCAGTTGGGCTGAGGGGCTTGACTGTTATCATATGGGTCTCAGGGAACAAGGGAGTAATCTGGTCTATGTTAGAACAGTCTGCCCAACCCAGCCAAGAAAGAAAAAAATCAAGTAAATGACAGCCTGAACCAAGAAGCAATTAAGTACATTCTTGGAACAGATGGTGTCTCCCTTAGATAATATCTTCACTTGAACTTGAGTGTAATTCTAGGTGACCCCCTTGGAGAATATTACCCAGGTAAAGGAATAGAAGAAGGGTAAAAAGGAAGAGCTCAAGCTTTGGATCCAGAAAATTCAGAACTTTGGATCCCTGTTCTGCGTCATAGTAGATTTATGACCTTAGGCCTAGTAGCTTTTGTGACTTGACTTTTCTGAACTTTTCTGTTTTTTTGAACTTGTTTTCTTGAATGCAGAAAGGGAATGTCTGCCTAGGAAGGTATTTTTGTGTTGGTTAAATGAGATAATTTATGCAAAGTTCCTGGCTTAGCATATTTCACTTGATAATTGCTACCAGCTATTGTTGTTATTATCATTACTGTTAAAAGGTATACTCTTCTCCTGAAACCAGGACATGTTGAACATGGAAGCCAGGACATGTCTTTCAGGATGATCCTTTGCACAGCTTGGGTCGCAGATCATGCCTGCTCAGACCCCTTCCAGAAGTTACTGAGGACTCATAACCATAGGCCTCTTGGCAGTTCAAGATGAAAAGATCTGTCTCTACTCTTTGTAAATATTAGAAGGGAAAATTATGGTGAAGAATTCTTCACCCTTTATAAAGGGGGGAGGGGATAAAGCACCAAAGGGAACATCTAAGAAGCACTAGCTATAATATGGAATAAAGCAAATGAGTAATTGTATAATACCCCATTCTGTCATTCCTACACTATGGAAGTAAACAAAATCAGATGTTAAGCTAGAAGAGATGAAGATAAAATCCTGTGGTCCTGAGTTTGAATTGATTATGAATTGAGGATATATTTTATCTTTAGTTAGTTACTGTCAGTTGCTCAGTCCAACTCTTTGTGACCCAATGGACTGTAACCTGCCAGATCCCTCTGTCCATGGAATTCTCCAGGCAAGAATATTAGAGTGAGTAGCCATTCCCTTCTCCAGGGAGTCTTCCTGATCCAAAGATGGAACCTGGGTATCTTGCATTGTAGGCGAATTATTTACCTCCTGAATCACCAGGGAAGCCCTGTCTTTAAAAACAAACAAATAGCTGCCTAAGGAATGAGTGTAGAAGTGGCTAAAGAGGGTAGAGGAGGAGAGAAGGAAGAAATTACAAAGGGGCCATGAAAATTTGGGGGGATGGTGGTTATGTTCACAGTCTTCATTGTGCTGAGGGATTCACAGACTTTAAATAT